CATACTAAGTGTATATAAAGGGGGTACGAATATCTTTCGAACAACAAAAAAGAACTATGGATATGGATGTTGATTTCGAATTAGAAATGAACATATCTCTCAAAGAGCTCCGAGTGCTTCTGCTTCATGAATTCCGTCAGAGTTCCAAAGTAACGGAAGCAGCAAGTAACATATGCAGCACGATGGGCAAGAATGCACTCTCCATCCGTACAACGCAACATTGGTTCAATCGGTTCAAGAACGGTAACTTCGAACTTGACGATTTACTTCGTTCCGGAAGACCACTAGAGGTGGATATGGATATTTTAAAGCAGCTTATCGAAGAAGATCCTAGATTGACTACACGGTGTTTAGCAGAGCGATTTGGGTGCTCTCATACTACAGTGGAAACAGATCTGAGCAAATTAGGTAAAACGTGGAAATATGGAGTTTGGATACCACATGAATTGTCACCGCATCAGCTCCAACACAGGGTTAACGCTTGTATGGAATTAATGACATCTCATCGCAGCTACCAATAGCTCAACTATCTTATTACTGGCGATGAAAAGTGGGTGTTGTATGTTAACCACACGTGCAAGCGACAGTGGCTGGAAGCTGGACAAACAGGTGTAGCAACGCCCAAAGGTGACCTTCACCCAAAGAAGATCATGCTGAGCGTTTGATGAGGGGTAAAGGGAATTATTCATTGGAAACTTCTTCCAACTGGCTGTACCAACACTGCTGATCTTTATTGCTGACAATTGGACCGAGTTGTAGCAAAACTTCAGGGGAAGCAGGATAGAATTTATTTTTTGCATGATAACGCCAGACCTCACATTGCAAAGTCAATGCGTAAAAAATTATTGAAACTCGGATGCGTTACGGTTCCACATCCACCTTATTCTTCAGACTTGGCTCCTATGGACTACCACTTGTACCGTTCTCTATCTAACCACTTATGAGAGCAAAAAATTTGATGACGAGAACGACCTCAAAATGGACCTCGTCGACTTCTTCGGCCAAAAGTCTCAGGACTTCTACGAACGCGGGATCTTTTCTCTACCAGAGCGTTGGCAACAAGTCATAGATAGTAATGAAGCATATTTTGTTGAAAGCTAATTGTATTCTTGAAATAAAAAATAAAAAGAAAATTTTCGAAAAAAACGCAAAAACTTTCTTGCTAACCCAATATTATTTTAATGATGCTACTTTTATGTTAATCTATTGCCATTTGTCAATCAATAGTTTTCATTAAAAACAAATCAAAGAGATAATAATTTATGCATTGATTATTCGAAGACTACTAATTCTTATGAAGAGAAGTGAGAAAAGTATCATGATCATGACACGATTATTGAATAGCATTCAAGTTTTTGACTTCGTTAACTATTTGATACAGTGGCGGATCGAGGAGGCGATATTTCTCCGAACAATATGTTAGCTTTTCCGAATTGTGTGGTTATTATAGTACATTCTATGTGTCTATATTTTCAAACAAAAAGATGAGCCCTGTAATGGAAAAGAAAAATCTAGATAAAACATAGACTTCTTAACATATTAATAAAATGTTCATTCTGTTCATCGAATTATATTTCGTCGACATGTTTATTAAATCGTAGAAACATCTCGATTATCATTAATGATAAGAAGAAAATAGTGAATAATAACTAAAAATGTGAATATGACAATAGAAAATAGTCTATTATTATTCAATTGAATAGAAATACAGTGATAGTCTCTGTGTTATGTTCATAACAGAGATGGACGAGTCAGTCGAAAAAGCGCCTAACCATCCAGCGATTCGCTCGCTGCCACATTGCCTCGCCTTGCCTAGGATTTTATGTAAAAACAGATATTTTCTTATGCATTTTTTAGCCTCATTTAAAAATTACTATTTCTTTTATTTCATAAGAGTACACAGAAGTATCCCGAGCGGCGAAAGTACCTCAATATTGAGAAGTTTTCATTCTTTCCCAGCAAAACTCTAGAATATTTCCGTTTCTTTGCTCATGAATTTTCAAAAAATTGCTCGATCGTCCCAAGTTTTCATCAATTTTAGCAAAATTTTTCTTATTGATCTCGTAATTCATAGATACCCTCAATTTTTGTGACTTCGGCACGCATCTAAAATCAAAAAAGGTACATAGTATCTGGAAAGTCATTCACCAAAAAAGAAAAATTCATGTTTCCATCACGTTTCTATTGGATGAACTATTTTTCGTAATTAGAGTGAAGGACAGTTCGAAATTTTTATTATTCAATAATATGGATTTCTCAAATACTCTTACAAAGTAATGCATTCAGATTCAATGCGCTACTAGATTTCTTTTTCGAGGTGCTAAAGAACAATATTTAGGACTGCGTTGAATTTATTGCATTTTATCTTATTAATGCGCATTTTCCGTTATTCAGGTCTTTTTTTTCATAAACATCAAAATGGAAAATATTCACGAAGCAGTCTTAAAATATCATTTTCTTGCATCTCGTAAAAGAACTTTTTTGCGTATTGCACCAGAACGTGTTACCTATAAGTATATTTGAGATGTCTATACTACTGAATGAAAACTTCGAACAGTCCTCTACCATTAGTACAAAAACTAGTTCATCCAATGGAACTATGACCGAAATATAAAGTTCTCTTTTTAGTCAATGAGTTTCTGGACATTTTATACTTTTTATTTATATGAATAGTTTGAAAAGAACAAAAAACAACAATAGATAATGAGAGCAGAATGAAAAGCTATACATTGTTAACCTCGTTCATAGAGTCAATTAAAGTGAATGTTACAAAACCATAAATAACCGTTATACAGGTCATTCCATTTATTTTATAACGATTTCGATCGAGTTTTTCTTCGTCAATGGCTCGTTGAGATCCGATGATTTTCATATCACTCAGCGTCACACACATTGTAGATGTTGTTATAACATTATTGATTTAGATAAATAAATGTCTGTTAATAACAACATCTAACAACATCAAAAGGTATGTAAAATATCTTTTGACAGAATAATATTTATACTTAGTGAAATACGAAGAATTATCCGAAATATGTTTGTATATATCAAAAAGTACCATCAGGCATGTCTCTAAAAAAGGTTGAAAAATAGCCCTAGTCAGCTTCATTAAACCATAAAAATTCAAAGCTTTATCGTCCATGTCATGTGACAACACGTTTAATTGGTTGGCGGTAATATATAACATATAGACTAAGAACATTTCTGTGCTATTTAGTTAGTTGTTACCAGACATTGTATTAGTGTTAGTACAACTGTTTGTATTATTCTTGACACAGATCATGCAAAGAACCGTGAAGAAAAACATAGTAGATTGCTAATATTCATTTATCATTGTAAAAGAAACAATCTTAGTGCTGAAGGCATGTGACATTGATTACGCGTTATGATCTACAATATGATGTGAGAACCGGTCAGGCATAGTTTCAAACATAACTAGGACTGCTTTTCAACCTTTTTAGAGACATGCCTGATGGTACTTTTTGATATATACAAACATATTTCGGATAATTCTTCGTATTTCACTAAGTATAAATATTATTCTGTCAAAAGATATTTTACATACCTTTAGATGTTGTTAGATATTTTATTACCAGACATTTATTTATCTAAACCAATAATATTATAACAATATCTACAATATGTATGACGTAGACTGATATGAAAATCATCGGATCTCAACAAGTCACTGACAAAGAAAAACTCGATCGAAATCGTTTTAAAATAAATGAAATGACCTATATATATATATCCAGTACGAAGAGAAGAATGAATAATAGTTGAATAAATAATTAACCGTGTAAATAACACAAAACACGTTTCAATTCTACCCTAATTCGACAATTTTCTCTCAAGTTTTTGTTTAGCATGCCCATCACCATCACAAGACAGTAACAAAAAAACAAAATATACAAAACTATTGCATGAATATAGGTCCAAATAAATTTTTTATTTATTCTCTTTCTTTAGTCAAAATATGATCTTGCTAAATCATTCAGTTGGATATAAATGCATGTAATTGTTGTCGATATTTTGTGTTGTTGTTATTATTTGCTGATGATAATGGTGGATGTATTCACTAGAAGCTTGAGAAACCTGTCAAATTTTTGAGAAAGTTGATGTGTTTCATGGGAATGATATACTAAATTATTTATTGAACTATCATCCGTTCTTCTCTTCCTGCTAGATCAATGTATATGATAATTATTTTGTTTGATCTGATTATTTATTTTTGTATTTTTTCGAATCTATTATAATATCTATGCAACAAAAATTGTAAAGTAAGCAGACGAATAACTCGGCGAGTTGTCCATCTCTGGTTCATAATAATGATCAATCTTGAAGAAATCAATGCATTAATTAGATATTCAATTGATTTTCAATGAAAATTATTGATTTATAAGTAGAAACAAACTAAAATGAAATATCTGCATCGTATCTATCATTTTGATAAATAGAAATATTTTACTGAAAACGTAAAACCAATATTAATTAAATATGTTTTCAAGTTTCTCAAAAGTAATATTATCTTATTTTGTGACTTCTTTTTTATATTGAACAGTTTGAAAGAGACGATCGATCTGATCAACTCTCTCCGTTCTCTAAATCAACTATTAAATAAAAACTATGATCACTGAAATTATTGCAAAGTTTCGTATAAAAAAGTTAATAAAAAAATAAAACAAAATTGAAAATGATTCTATTATTTTAGTAATTATTTATGATCTCTAAACAAAAACCTAATCATGAATTATAAATATTGTAGAGAATTAAAATTCGAATTGTTTAATAACAAATATCGTTTTAAAAATGACAACAACAAGTTAAAATATATGAAAAATACTGAAATAGGAATTTACTATAGTGCACGCACGTTTACATACCGATTCAGAAAATATTTCAGGAAAAAACAAAAACATAAAATTGGACAAGCTGAGAGCAAAGAATGAATTAATATATAATAAAAAATTGATAACTAATTGGTCTTTAATTAAATATAATTATCGACAATTGATTAGTCTTTTAAGACAATCATCATATGATACTCCTACTGTAATTGATTTTCTCTGATTATCATTTGAATGATTTTCATTTTCGATATTTCGAACTTGATTATGTTCTTGTTCATTATTCATATTATTATTTATATGATTTTGTGAATCAGATTCTTGTTCAGGAGAAAATTGTCGTTTTCTTCGTTGACTTTTAAGAATTTTAAATAATGGAAAAGAATTTCTTGTTGTTGTTGGTGTTGTTATTGTTGTATTATCATTGGATTGAATTGTTTCTTGACGAAATATTTTATTTGATTGATTTTTAATATGATTGTTAATAAGTTGTTGATTTTGAATAGAATCATTTGATATTAATCTTTTCATTTGTTGTTTTTCTTCTTGTTCTTGTTTTTGTTTATTTTTATTTTCATTTGTTTTTATTTTATTTAAACAAAAACAATAAACATTAGTAAATTCTGATCGAAATTTTGTTCCATATATAATAAACATAATAAATGTTGTTGCTGCATTTAATGTTGCGAATAAATTTGCAATTGAATGAAATTTTCTTAAACGAAATGGTGATTTTTCATTAATAAACATTTTAGCACTAATTAACCACATAACTGATATAACAGCAGATGGAGATCGAAATACAAGAAGCATTATTGTTGTTGCAAGTAACATTATTGTTATACCTATATTCAATTAATAGAAATACATTAGACAGATAAATATTTGTTTTTTTTTAAAAACATTTTTATCTTTATTCATCTATATAATAAATAATTGACATATTTATAACTGAATAATTCTCTATACTATTATATATGACAAATAATTTAACAATAAAAAATTTTTACTAATTTATTTCAATATTGTTAATATATAATATTTAATTTTTATATATTAAATTTATATCGATGAAATTCTTAAAAGATTTTCATTTGTTTTTTTTTTCCAGTTATATATTTATTATATATATAATCTATCATGTTGAATTTTATTTTACCTCGAGAAAAAGAAAAATATGTTCATTTGTCTAAAACTATTTGATTTCACTTCTTAATTATAACTTAAATATTCGTAAAATGTTCATAATTTAGTGAAGTTAAACAGTAAGTTTTTTAAAATAATATATCGATCTGAATTAAACGAGTTTAAAAATATGTTCTATATGTTGATAAGTTTCAAATTATATTTATATGATTATTTATTCAAATATTATTATTAAAAATACTTATGATATTTAAAATGATAATTATTTTAAGAATTTTTTAATAGATTTTTAGTTTTATTTTCTTCAAAAAAAAAAAAAAAAAAACGTTTGCCTTTTGAAATCAGGAATTTGTGAGTTGATATACTTTAAAATCATAATAATAAGTGATTAGAACTATTAATAATTATAAAATTTGATAAATATCTTTTAATTAAATATAAAAGATAGTTTGAAGATAAATCAAGTTCCTACGTAACCCTTTTTAAACATATTATTATGAAAATGTCATTCAACTGTATTTGATGTCGTAATAATATAATGCCTTGATATTTTTCTCGATGATAATACATCTGAAAATGTTCTTTCGTCTTATACAAATAGGATATCTGTTCCATGGGGAAAAAAAACAATTATTTATTGTGAAAAGTCGTCTTTTTCCTATAAATGATAAAATATACTCGAAAATCTCTGTCTATTTAACATAGATAATTATTTTATTTTGTTTAATTCAATTTGTTTTTGTTGTGACTAGTGTCACTCTATAATTATACTAGAAGAGACCTTAAAATTTTTAAGTATTAACAAATAAACATAAAACGTTAAGAGTGAAGCAACTTTCATAGAAATTCAAATAAAAAACGGAAGTTTTTCGAGACTTTAACTTGACGCATAAAACGTGATCGAATAAAATTTTTATAAAAGTATTTTAATAAAAAAAAAAGCTCAAATCGGATTCATTTTCACATCTAAACACTTTTTTTGATTTAATTAAAGAAGATTTATCGAATTTTTTTGTAAATTTTATTAGAAATGACTAAGAGTTATGATAAAAAGTGCATTATGTAGAAATTTCATCATTTCGAAAAACAAAAATTTTTTTCTTTTTAAGAAAATACAAAAAAAAACTATTAAAAATTTCATCATTAGCTTTAATAATGTTCTTCGAAAAAGTAATATAATCGAACTAAAAATTTCCAAGATTGTCAAATTCATCATCATCTAAAACATATTAAGAATAAAACCTTGAAATTCTGCGATATAATTCCATCGTCGATCAATTTGACTGATGTCTGTTTTCTGCGACACTAACTATTAACATTTTAAATTCATTTCAAATTGATTTTTCTTTTGCATATGAGAAAAAAAAAGATAAATCAACTTTTTGAAAATTTCTTCTATTCATTGAAGTTTTCTTATAAATAACATAGAAATTCAAAGATTATATTTTAGTTTTAGATGATTTATTATTAATAATCATCAAAAATATGAAAAACAGAATAATAATAATTAAAATCTATCTATAGACTATTTTATTAAATGTGACCATCGGAAAGAATGTTAACTATAAAAAATGTCTCATTATTTATATAATCTTCTATAAATTAGGTCTATGTGTTTTCTAAAATAAAAATTTTCAATTTAGGAGTTTAAAATCATTCTTCTACAAGATAAAATAGAGTATAATTATCTGATTTATTTCAAAAAAATAAAAAATAAACTTTATATTTAGTTATTGAATAAAACCAATTGAATTCGAAAATGATTTTAATATAAATACCTTGTTTAGTTGGTAATGGTGCATTATATTCAGCTGAACGACGTTCTAATAAACGAATTGATAAAAGTAATTTTCTATTAAGTATAATTATAGTTGTTAATGGAATAACATAAACAGCAAGTGCATTTATTAAAACATAAATCCAGCGAAAAATAGAATTTTTTCCTAAATTACTTAATTTATAACGATAAAAATTTTTATTATGATCTTCTAAAGGTAATTCAGTTAAAACTGTTTCTTCATGTGGTTCATATTCAAACATAAGTGGAAGAGCATAAAAAAGGCCAACTATATAAATAATAAATGTAACACGTCTAGCAGCCTTCATTGTACAATAAATTGGACCATCAAATGGTCGACATATCACTAAAACAATAAACAATCTATTTATTTATTTAATTATATATATTTATATATATATAAACGAAAGTTAAACATACTTATCCATCGATCAATTGTAAAAGCTACACAAAGCCATACACTAAGAACACGAGCTGTTGTACTTATTGCAGCTTTATTTAAAACAAAAACAAAAACAAAAACAAAAACAAAACAAATTTATTTAAATAAACATAAATTGAAATAATTATTAATACCTGTTATTATTATTATTTGTGTATAAGTATAAGTTCTTGGTAATTCATAATCAGGTATATTTATTGGATATGCATATAATATATAACCAGGTATTAAAAAAAAACAAGCTGTAAAATCACTTAAACATAAACCAGCTAAATAAACATAAGTTGAAAGACGCATTGTACGACGAATTAATATTGAAAAACTAAGTGCATTACTAATTATGCCAAGAAAACAAATGAATAAACCACATATACCATTAACATAATGATCAAATGGATCACGTGTAAATGATTTACGAATTGATTCATATAAAGCAGCATTATCAATAACTAAATCATCAATTGTTACATTTGACGATGGAGAATACATTTCTTTTTTTTTAATTTTTATTAATTATTACATTATCTACAATTTCATATTGAAATATTATAAAGAGAAAGAAGAAAAAAAAACACAATCAAAAATCACAATATGAATTTATTTCTGATAACATTATAAAACAAAAAAAAAACCAAGGAGACTCATATTTACGATTTAGAAACGAAAGAAAGAAAATGTAGATCGAACAGCTGCCATAATTCACTCACTTTTTTTTTATCAATATCAATGATGAATCATAAAAAATTTTTTTAATCATATTATTTTATTTAAAAGATATTTTTCTTTCCAGAATTTTTCTAATTATTATATTTAAACTGTTTATTATAATATAACGGATATATTTATGACAAACCTGATTTTAATTATGAATGGAAAATACTCCACGAGCCGCCTTATGAAAATCACATAAGAAAATATCTAGAAATAAATATATATACATATAGACAAACACTTCATCCTCATTGAACATCAATAATATTATTTTCTTTTCTTATATTTAAACAATATTTATTGTTGAGTCATAAATAAAATTTAAAAAAAAAATAATGAATTTGATCAATTTTTATATTTTTCCTATGTCAATCTTTATGATTATTATTATTATTATTATTACTTTCTTTTCCTATTCTTTTTTGCTCTTCTGTACTATTTTATCTCTAAGGGATACACAAACAAAAAAAAAAATACATCGTCAAGCAATAGAACTAACTATTATCTATCTGTAAGTATATGTTGAAAACAACGATATTGATATGGATTATCGTAGAACGATAAGAAAATCTGTGTACACAATCCTTGTGTTACTATATATATGTATATATATCGATGTATGAATAATAAACAAGCCAGATAAGAATAATAAACAACATGGATTATAAACTGAATGTTTAATTGTTCAGTATAATATTGTTATTGTTAAATAGTTCTAATTAGATTTATTTCTTTAAGAAATATGTAAGTATGAATTTAAGTTAGAAAATTTTCTTGTCAATCAATAAAATAATGTTAATGTCATTTATTTCCTTGAGTGACACTTGACAAATATAATATAATATAGTTAAACAAAAAATGATTTTTCATTATTTAAGATTATTCAAAGAGTGAAAATATTCGAAGTTATGCGCAAATAAATATGCAGTTAGAATTGCGTTTATTTTATAAAATACTATGGATTATAGCGAACATATACATACACGTGTTGACTCCGCTTTTTTTTTTAATATTATCATATTGACGTAATCGTTTCTTTCTTTGTTTGATCAAACTTTTATAGGTTTGCATTAGCATGATAGTTGAGGATTGTTTTATCAAGAAAAAAAAAATTTTTTTTTTCAATCAATATACAACATGGTGCATGTTTCGAAATGAGTGTAGTTTAGAAAGATATGAATAAACCCCTTATGAAATCATACAGCATATACATTAACATGTTTAAGATAAAAAACAAAAAAGTAACTGTTTAACTTGTCGATTCCACATTTTCTTATGTTATGTGTTAAAGAAAAAAAAAAAAAAAGAAAAAAGGCTTGTGTACGAGAAAGGCGAAACATATATTATTAAATAATATCATTCTATATTATAAATCGACTATTTATGTTCAAAATGAATATCAATTAAATTTATTCAAATATAAATAACTATATATATGATATTGTTTTAAAATATCGATTTATTTAATTTAAAAACATAATTAAGGTGATTATTATTTTTAAGAATAACTTGTTACCTACAGACATCTATCGATTATTTATATAAAAAGATAAAAATTCAACAAAATATCAAATATATATTTTGAATTTAGATTTAAAAAAATTTCAAGTTTGCTTTTGATATTTTGTTCTTAATTTAATATTTTCTTTTCGAATATGTTTTTTGTTAAATGATCAGATCAGATCAGATCAGAGCAGCGTAGAGCAGAGCAGAGCATAGCTCATCTATATAAAGTGAATCACATATATCAACCAATCAATTGTTTATCTTTTTCTGTTTCGTCGTCTTCCACTAAAAACAAAGTCTTTCGATACGCATAATCTGTTCGTTCGTTCGTTCGTTCGTTCATTGTGTGCAAAATTTTTTCTTGATCACAATTCAAATCGCCTAGACTGTTTTCTTTCTTTTTCGATCTACTTCTAATATAGTCGAAAATGAGTTTAGCTAGTCCAAAATTAGCACCTGTTGTTCTCAATACAAACAATAATAATAATAATAACAACAATCAAACAAATACTTCTTCAACATCTATTAAGAAAGAATTAAATAATAATAAATCACGATCATCAAATGGAAAAGATTCAAAATCAAATAATAATCATCAACTAGAATCTATTCACGATTCAACAACAAAACGAATAAGTCGAGTTTTACATAGTAGTGATGATGATGATGATGATGATGATGATGATGATGATGATAAACCATTGGTCATTAATATACTCAAATATAATATTGATTTATAGATTTATTTATTTTTTTAGGCTAAAAAAGTAGCTGCCAACAATGGTCGAAACTCAACAACAACAATAAATATTAAAAAAGAAACAACAACAGTTATTAAAAAGGAACCGAAATGTGAATCAACATTAATTTATGTTAAAAATGATCCATCACCAGGAAAACGTAAAAATGAAAATATTGATATTGATGATGATGATATTCCATTGGTTAGTTTACTTTTTTTATTTTATTTCAATATTGAAATGTTTTAATTTTCTATATTTCGTTTTGAGAATATAAATAATTATATTTCACATTAAATTATAATTAATAACGAATATAAATATGATTATATTAGACTATAGACAAATAAATATATATTTTATATATTTATTTATCTATTATTCAACTTTAATCATATAAATTATTTGATTATGTCGATTTACTTTAATCTATCGAAATTTAATGAAATAAACGTGATCATATTAGACTTTTTCTATCTATCTCTCTTAAGTCAATGTCAACACTTTTATATTACTAATTAAGAATGATATGGGAACAATTTTATCGTACTTTTCATATACTCGTCTACTGTTCGAAATATATACTTATTCACTAATGTTTAACGCAATAGAAAATAATAGTGATTTTCGTTTTCGTTTTCGTTTTCTTTTTATCTATCAAAAATACAATTTAAATAATAGAATAAATGAATTTTCTAATAAAAAATAGAAGTTTTTTGGTTAGAGAAATTAAAATCTAAGAAAGATTTATAAAAAAAAATCTCATTGAAAAAATGCATAGTTGTGACGATTTTGTTATGTTTTATAAAATAATATTTATAATTTATAATCTTTATCAAATGAATATTGAATAAAGTTTAGTAGAAATTTCTATTTTTAATGTTAATATATTTAATTTGAATTGAAATTAATGAATATGAATATTTATTAAAATTTGTTTTATATAATCTATAATATAATTGAGATAATAAATCCTATTATTAAATAGTCTATTGAGATAAATATTTTATTCTAAGCATTACTTTATTTATTTAATTAATTGAGTTGATATTATTTAGGCAAAGAAAGCTAAAAATCAAATATCTACAGAAAGAAAATTGAATTCAATAATAAAAGTTATTAAAAAAGAAAAAAGTTCAGATATTAAACCATTATTATCATTATCAAAAACAAAAGAATCAAGTGAAAAGAAAAATTCTTCATCAAATCGATCATCAAGAAAAATAAAAAAAGAAAAATTAACTCCAACATCATCACCAATCAAACAAACAACTGGAAAACGTAAAAAGAAAGAAGAAGAAGAAGAAGAAGATATTTGGCGATGGTATTTTAGTTTTATTTGTTTTTTCTATTTTATTTATTTTATTTATTTTATTTAAGGTGGGAAGAAGAAAAATATACAGATGGGAGAAAATGGACAACACTTGAACATAAAGGTCCTTTATTTCCACCTTTATATGAATCATTACCACATAATGTCAAATTTTTCTATAATGGTTTGTTTTATTTAATATGAAAAATAAATTATTGTTTATTTTATTTTTTTTAAATATAAAAACAAAAAAAAAAGGTATGGAAGTTAAATTAAAAGAAGCAGCTGAAGAAATCATGACATTTTATGCTCGTATGCTTGATCATGATTATACATCAAAAGAAATATTTAATAATAATTTTATGTCGGATTGGCGTAAATCAATGACACAAGCTGAACGGGAATTAATAAAAGATATACGTAAATGTGATTTTACACAAGTTGCCAATTATTTTAAAGAACAAACAGAACAAAGAAAAGCAATGACAAAAGAAGAAAAAAAAAAATTAAAAGATGATAATGAATTAATTCGAAAAGAATATGGATTTTGTATGTGGGATAAACATCGACAACCTGTTGGAAATTATAAAATTGAACCTCCTGGACTTTTTCGTGGTCGTGGTGAACATCCAAAAATGGGTTGTGTTAAAAAACGTATTGCTCCAGAAGATGTTATTATTAATATTGGTCGACAAGCACAAATACCTAAACCACCTGAACGACATCATTGGAAAGAAATTCGACATGATAATAAAGTTTCTTGGTTAGTTATGTGGACTGAAAATGTTAGAGGAAATAATAAATATATTATGTTAAATGCTTCATCACGTGTTAAAGTTAGATTTTATCTTCGTTTAGTTTTTTTTCTTTTTTTTCTATTAAGTTTTTATTTAATAGGGTGAACGAGATTGGCAAAAATATGAAAAAGCTCGAAAACTTCATAGATTTATTGATACAATAAGGGAAAGTTATCAAATTGATTGGAAAAGTAAAGAAATGCGTATACGTCAACGTGCTGTTGCACTTTATTTCATTGATAAAGTAAATAAATAAAAGAAAGAAAGAAAATAAATCTATTTATTTATTTATTTATTTATTTTAGCTTGCTCTTCGAGTTGGAAATGAAAAAGATGAAGATGAAGCTGATACTGTTGGTTGTTGTTCATTACGTATTGAACATATTAAATTATTTGATAAAATTGATAATATTGGAGAAAATGTTGTCGAATTTGATTTTCTTGGCAAAGATAGTATAAGGTATATTTATTATTAATAATTAATTTATTGTCGAACTTCATTTTATATTATTAATGATAAAAAGTTTTTTTCTTATTTCTCATCACAGATTAATTAAATTTTATTTAATAAAAATTAACTTTACGAATATTAAACTGATCATCAGAGATATGACGGATTCACTAGGAATAAAATATTTATCGATTTATTTTACAGCTGTTTATATTTATTTTATGTTGTCAAAACAAAAATAACGTCAACTCACTATGAAAAATGTTACTTTATTAATAAATATATTTAGAAAGAAAAAATATCTTTATATCGAATATTTTCCCTATTCTACTTATATTAGTTTATTAATATAATCGTATAGGAATTTAATAACTATTCATATAGTTAGATAATTATCAGAAGATTACATACATATTCGAGAACACATTGAACAACTTTTTCATAGAAGAAACACATTTCAGTTTTTATGCTTACAAACAAATTTAACTGTTAAAATATACTTTTTGCTTTTTCTATAGTCAAATCCATTAAATCAACAGATATAATTATGTTAAAGATTGATCATTAAATGATCGCATAATATTGTTTGGATTTGAAAAAGTTGGAAATAATATTTTGAAAGTTTTATTGTAGGTAGTTATGATAAATCTGTCTTATAATAGTATAATTAATTGTTAATATTTGATTATTTATAATCTAGAATTTTATTTTCAATTAATAATAAAAGTTAATATATTAAAGAGAAAAAAATTAGTAAAAAGAAACAAAAAGAAAAAAAAAAATTGAAACTTATAAATATTTATTTTATTTTTTAAATAGATACACAAATAAAGTGAGTGTTGAATCACGTGTATATAAAAATTTAAAATTATTTATGGAAAACAAAAATGGCGATGATGATTTATTTGATCGTCTTACAGTAAAAAAAATATTTAAATTCGAATAAATAAATAATAAAAATTTTTTTTTTATTAAAATTAGACATCAGGTCTTAATCAATATTTAAGTGAATTAATGGAAGGTCTTACAGCTAAAGTCTTTCGAACGTATAATGCTTCAAAGACACTTCAAGATGAACTTGATTCACTGACTGATCCAAATGCATCTATACCAGAAAAAATTCTTGCTTATAATCGGGCTAATAGACAAGTTGCTTTACTTTGTAATCATCAACGTTCTATACCAAAAACATTTGAAAAAAGCATGGAAACACTTAAAGCGAAAGTAATTCGTTTTTTTTTTATTTAATAAAACTTTTTATGTTTTTTTTTTTTTTTTTTTTTTTTTGTTTAAATTGATATAAAAAAAGGTGAAATAGATAAAGACAAAAAAGAATATAGAAAAAAAAAAACAGAAAATAAAAAC